GGTACGATGGTTGGTCTAAGGTTGTGTCTGTTGTGTCAAAGGGTACAACCCTTTGTCTTTCTATTTATACTGTAAATTGTTGTATGAAACACGTGTAAAAAAAACAGTGTTTGGTTTATCAATGATTCTAACATATTTAATCCTAAAAAATTTAAATCTCCAAGTTCCTCCAGCAATTTCTCAACAACAAAATGCATAGACTGTACAAGACATTATGAGAGCTCCATAGAAGTTGCATGCATTCTAATTTGAAAGTAATTATTTACTGCGGTTTAAAAAGAAAAACTAGAATTGATACCTTGAAAGTGGTGGATGTAAATCTTCTGGCTGGCAGAATAAGTCATGGACTCCGTTAAGTCGTAAATAATCCTTCAAATCTTGTTAAAAGAAATTTGTTGAACTTTTGAATCGGCTTTGATATTTGTGTACACACAATAAAACCTCGGTGTTGGCAAAGTATCTGGACACCACACCAGAGAGCTTGATCCATGAAACGACAAAATAACAATGGAGTTATGATCAAAGTCCTAAAGTGAAGGAACACGTTTATTGATTTTCTGGCCAACAAATTAATTAGTTGTACATTGTGATTATCAATTTCAAAACTCAAATCAAAGTAAGATGATTAAAAGAGAAGAAGAGAGAGTACTTGTGAATTGACTTTCTGGAGCTTGACAAAATCATCCCTGGAGCATGGTAGAGATCCATCTTGTGGGTGCATGTGTTATTCACGACTCTATGTAGCAAAAGGTTCTGTAGCCTGAGGTTTGTATCTTGGATGTGAATCACACGACTCAAGAACCTTTCTAGACCCAACAATAAACAGACCTTTCTTCATCCTCTTCGGAAGATGATTTATGCATGTACCTTCAATATTCAACTCTTCTAAACATTCTAAACGTCCGAGTTCCTCAGGCAATTCCTCGACTCTACAGTTGGGGAGACGGAAATATTTTAGCCGTGTCATCCTACATATACTCTTCGGAATATCTCGTAAAAGTATACAATATGATAGGCTTAGCGTCTCTAAACATTGTAATCGCCCAAGATCCTCTGGTAACTTCTCAAGAAGCTTACAACAATAAAATGTGAGATTTTTCAGATGTTTCAACATACAAATGCTATCCGGAAGATGTTTAATACTTGTATGCTGAAAAGTTAGCTCCTCTAGAGATTGTAATCCGTCAAGATCCCCGGGTAACTTCTCTAGAAGCATACAATCAAAAATAGTAAGAATTCTCAGATGTTTCAACAAACAAATGCTATCCGGAAGATATTCAATCTCTGTAGACCAGAAAGTTAACTCCTCTAGACATTGTAACCGGTCAAGATCCTTGGGCGCCTTTGGAATTCTGCCTTTGAGTGTAAGTTTTGTTAAATCTTGTAAACCACAAATGCTTCCAAAAAAACTTTGAAGGTCTGTGCAAGGGCAAGTAGAATTACCTACCGAAATAAGCTTCTCAATATTTCCAATAGATGAGGGTAGATCTTCCTTATAACAACAATAAAACCGGATTGCAAGATTACTATCGGGGTGCAATGGGCACATATCAAATGACTCTGCAAACAGAATTAACTCAGGTAATCCAACCCTATTCCAGATATCCAAATCTGTAAACCTCAAAAAACCATGTGATTCTAAGTGGATTAGCTTTTTTAGAACTCCAACGCCAAGGTGAACTTTTACCAAATTACAACATTTTTTAAGATGTAAACTCTCGAGATTTGGAATTCGCCCAAGGTCAAGGGTCTTCAACTCTGAACATCTTCTGATGTCTATGGATTCAAGCTTAACATCTCCATCGGGTATGTGAAGTTCTACAAAAGCACAACATTCAAGAATCAATGTCCTAATATTCAAAGTCAACTTAAGGGTCCTTGACTTTGAATTAATGAGTTTGAGGTACTCGAGTTTTGGAACTACCAAATCATCAAGGTTAAGGGATCTCAACTTCGAACAACTCAGCGTAAGGGATTTGAGTTGTGGACATTCACGAGGCATGTCAAGTTCTACCAAATCACATCCCTCAAGATTCAATGTCTTGACATTCGGAACCAACCTAAGGTCAAGGGTACTCAACTTTGAACCACTAAGTTTGAGGGTTTTGAGTTTTGAACATCTAACAGGCATGTGAAGTTCTTCCAAACAACTACATGAACGAAGAGTTAACCTCTCAAGATCTGGAGTTAGCCCGAGATCAAGGGTCCTCAACTTGGAATGACTGAATTTAAGGAATCGGAGCTTGTCAAGAACCTATCATAAGAAAAATAAAAGATGAGTAGTGGTGTAATAACAAACCAATAGATGTGTAGTGTCACATGCAATGAATAACGCAAAACAACAACTCAACCATTATTCTACCTTTCTTTCTCCCCCTTCCCAAAGTTGTACGATTTCACTGTGGAACATATGAAGAACAACGAGATTACTTGCTTGATATGTTTTGGGTAAAGAATGAAAAGGGTAACGGTCACATTCCAGAATTTGCAAAGAATTTGGAAAGTATTGGCTAACTTCATCAAGTTCCTAATAGCTATTAAATTTAAAGCCGCGCATGAGAAGACATCTAAGTTTCTTCATGTTTCCAAAACCTTTCATTAAAGTTTCTTCATTGATTTGTGATGCAAACAGGTCTATACATGTTGCGTCGGTACCCTGTAATCCAAAAGAAGGGCCCATGAAATTAACTTGGGTCGTGACAAATGAATTTGTGTTAGTTATTTCAACTTTACGTATAAATTTGATTCTTACCAAATTCTTAGCCAATATATCTTTAATTTCCTCTTCAATCCACAACCGTGTGTGTCTTCTAGGATCATCGAGGTTCTCACGACGAACAATGTACCTCCCCATTTCTTGTATATGGTCATGCATGTCCAAGCAGCCACATTTAGAAATAGATATGAGTGATTTGTTCTCAAGAACACTCAAACCACGTATAGCATGAAATCCACGGCTTTCAAGCACTTTGATTGCTTTGTTTTTCTTCCAACCTTTCAATATGCATGCAACATCTAGGAATATTTCCTTGCAATTGATATCTAAACCCATATAGTTTAACTCCAACTTTTGCAAAGTTGCATCCAGTGGAATTTTTTCTAGTTCTTTTAGGGTATCTATCCATACATCCTCATTTGCATCACATAAAGATGAACCCAATACCGTGATTGTTAAAGGAAGACCAGCAGCGTAACTTACAGCTTTTCGTGATAGCTCTTCGTAACCTGGAATTGGAGACTCTGTCCCAAACGCACACCTACTTAAAAGACATATTGCTTCCTCAGGCATTAACAGATTGACATCATGTATCAACTTCACTTTATGTGCTACTAGTACCTGCTTCTCTCTTGTTGTAATGATAATTCTACTTCCCTTCATGAACCACTTAGGTTCACCTAAGGCCTTAAGCTGGTCTATATGATCCACATCATCTAGAACAACAAGAACCTTTCTACTAGGCATCTCCTCTTTCATCTTCTTTTTCCCATCAAAGACACCATTTACAGTGATATCTTGCCTATTTAACACATCTCTAAGGACTTGTTGTTGCAACAACTTCAAACCTAATAAAAGGGAACTTGAAAAATCCCGGACATTCTCAACAAAGCTACTACCTTCGAACTGATTGCATATTTGATCAAAAACAGCTCTGGCCAAAGTTGTCTTCCCAATGCCTCCCATCCCTGTGATTCCTATCATGCAAAACTCATGGGGAAAAGCATTTAAAGATGAAACCACGCCATTTATCTGAGTCCTCATGCCTATTAAATTTTCATCAGCGCTGATGGAAGGTAACTTCAATGAAATCTCCTTGACAACTATTTTGATAAATTCAGCTTCATGCCTATATGTCAAAGAAATACAAATCAATTAGCTTTCTGAGACTCCCACATGGAAGAAAGATATAATTAGAAACAAAATGAAAGAAAGATATAATTACCCATCAGCAGTAGTCTTCAATTCTCTCCCGCTGAAAGATGTTGCTTTTACCAGAGCCTCTCTCCATTTACCAGCAGCCTCGTCCTTTTCATGTTTGGCAAAGGCTTTTCCAAATGCCCCACTTTGTTTGCGGACTTGAGTGGGTTCCACATTGTAGTATATAGGGTAAACAGTATGCTCCTCAGAGATCGTCTTTTGGCACTCCATAATCTTGACAAGCTCATCCAAGCACCAAGACGAAGATGCGTAGTCTTTGGAGAAAACAATGACATGGAATCTTGAGTTTTCGATGGCTTGAATGAGCTCCCTACTGATTTGTTTCCCTCTCTCGAGGTTCTTGTCATCCTTGTAAGCTTTAATGCTTTCTCGCTTAAGAGCGTGATAAAGATGATCAATGAATGTCCTACGAGTGTCTTCACCTCTAAAATTCAGAAATACATCATACTTGAAGCTGCTCTCATGAATGGATGAAGTTGAAGAAGAAGCCATATTTTGAAGGTATGATACGATGAAGTAAATGAAAACTTTGTTGGGGGACGTAATCCAACAAAGAAAATTGGATGAGAGATTGTCGAAAGAAAGGGGTACCAAAAATTCTGAAACCAATATAATAAATAAAAAGCTCTACGACTCAACTTTGACCATACAAAACTAACGAGTCCAGATCCAGACATGAGAAGCCAAAGAAAATGTCAGGAAAGACAATTTAATAAACGAGTGTAGGTTACATTCTTGGTACTTGTAGTTTATCTATTTTAACACTCTGGGTCCTTATTTTAAAATATATGTGAATTGCATCCCTGTGGTTTGCATTTTATAACACATTAAGTCTCTACGGTTAACTCCATCCAAAAAGTTCTGTTAACTTAGTTAGTTTAGAGGGATATTTATTAAACCGTAGGACCATGTAATTTACTCTACCTTCTTCATCTTCTCCGATGAGACACTCCACCCATTTCCTTTCTCCGGTCATCTTCTCTGCCATTACCAAATCTCCGATCACCGTACACTAGATCACGCATCAAATATAACTGAACACGATAAATCACCTCAAATCCAACCTCTAGTAACTACAACTGAAAATCAAAATCAAAGAACAAAATATGAAAAATCAATATTAAATTCAAACCAAACAAATCCATATTCAAAACAGATCGAATGCGACAAAATCCATTCAGAAGAAGCCAGATCAAATGCAACAAAAGCAAATACAAACTACTAAATAAAATGCAAAAGATCGAAGCCTTGTTGAAGACGAAATCGACGCTGTGATGGATATGCTTCGCCGGAGAACCAGGTGAAGGCCGGTGGATCTGCTGGAGTATGAAGGAAAATGAAGGCTGGGAAAGATGAAGAAATCACTAACATCGATCTACCTCGTCGAAGAAAAAATCACCGACATCGATCCCCTTCCGGTCTCTTTCTCGAGCGAACAAATCACTAACATCGATCTGCTTTCGGCCCTGTCTTCAATCTTCTCTGTTACCACACCGAGGCCAGATTTGCCATACGAGATTCATGGTCTTATTGATGGTGGTTCACAGCAACAAGGGGTGTGCATAGGGGGTGGTCGTGGGCTTCTCTAAGAGCCTCTGTTCGTTCGTTAGTCTCAGATCTGAACACAGCGATGATGACGCAGTACGACTCTCAAATTCGTTGCAGCGATGGAGGTGGGAAGGGGAAGGGGGTTCACCGAGAGGAGGGAGAAAAAGAAATGGGGGAAGAAGGGAATGGTCCCTGATCTGGGTTCGTCGGAGAAGGAATAGTCCCTATGATCTTTATCGTCGGAGATGACGAGGGGAATGGTATTTTAATATTTTGTTACTATTCATTATTATTTTAATTATATTTTAGATTTTATATATTTAAAATGAGATGTTTATTTTTTATTTGATTATGTTTATCCAGAGTTAGTTATACAAATTCAAATATGAAACTTTAATAAGTTGTACTTATGCATAATTTACTTGTAATCTTGAATTTTAAGTAATATATATCAATAAGCAGTACGTCATGCATAAAAATAATTTTTAAGAGTTTTTATCAAATACTTTATAATATAGTATAGATATATAAAATAAATTAGGGAAAAGTACAATAAAAACCAATGAACTTTCTTGTTTTGAATGATTAAGTCCTTGAACTTTTTTTTGGAACAAATAAGTCCTTGAACTTTCCAAAACATGTTAAATA